AAATGGCACTCTAGATGTTTGTTTGTATCTTGCACTTCAGTGGGAAAATCTCTAGGTAGTAAGACAACCACTGCTTCAGGATTGCAGTCTAAAATGATGGGGGAAGTGAATTGAAGTAGAAAAAAGAAAATAAGAATAACCCATCATTTCCTTAATATTCAAATCAATGAAGTAATGAACTTAGTTTCTTCCTTCACTGTGGTAGCCCATGGAACAATTGTTGGAAGCCTGGAGTTGATGGGAGCTTTACCTCAGAAATATCTGAACAGCATGTGAACTAATTTGAAGCAAATAGAAAAGGTTGGATGGAGAACTCAAATTTCTGTTAGGCTTCAATCTGACTTACAGTGTTATTGGTCTCTTTCATCCCCACTGATTTCAATTTCCTAAACACAACATATATTGCAACTGTTAGCACTGTTTTCTCATCCTATCATTATTGGCTGTGCTTGCTAGAAATTATGGGAGTTATGGTTCAATATATCTGAAGGACAACTTCATGGGTTGTCCTTGACATTCTCCCCATTGTTAAACACTTACCACCCATCTCTGGGTTGGTAAAAAACTATGTTGGTATGAATGCTACTGTCCTAAATGCCAATCTCCATGCCGCTTCTATTTCTAGTCACTGCTAACTTTTCTCCAAGGGAGTCTTTCTCAACCTTGGCAACTTATAGATTGTTGACTTCAACTCCCGGAATTCCCTAGCCAGCATGCTAGAAGTTGAAGTCCACACATCTTCAAGTTGCCAAGGCTGAGAAACACTCTCTAAGCTAATGGATGATAAAACCTAACAGAATGTACACACCTTGGACCAGTGGTGGAATTCAATTTTTTTTTACTACTGGTTCTGTGGGTGTGGCTTGAAGGGCATGGCTTGGTGGGCATGGCAGGGGAAGGATACTATAAAATCTCCATTCCCTCCTCACTCCAGGGAAAGGTTACTGCAAAATCCCCATTTCTTCCCAATCAGCTGAGACTCGGGAAGCAGAGAATAGATGGGGGCAGGGCCAGTCAGAGGCGGTTTTTACTGGTTCTCCGAACTTCTCAAACTTTCTGCTACCGGTTCTCCAGAACTGGTCAGAACCTGCTGAATACCACCTCTCCCTTGGATAATGGATAAAGGGAGTGATGGAAACACTTTATGAACACCAGTATAATTAGGACATAAAATTGATTCTCTCATGGGCTGGGACAAGATGAAGAGGACATTATGTGGTCATGGTAGAAAAGAAGATATTGCCAGTCATGTTTAGGCTTTAGTAATGGGAGTAATGGGAGAAAAGTTCCAACCAATGGAACAGTTTGCCTTCAGAAGTTGTGGGAGCTTCATCACTGGAAGCTTTCAAGAAGAGACTGGATTGCCATTTGTCAGAAATGGTGTAGAGTTTCCTGCTTTTGGGGAGGGGTGGACTAGAAGACCTACAAGGACCCTTTAAATTCTGTTAATTTGTTAAAGTCCTTGAAGAAAATAAGAGGGATTTCTGCTAGGAATCCCAGCTGTAACACACAGAGATGGAAGGCAGGGCAAAGAGCTCCATGAGAGGGCGCCATTAATCCCTCCTTGTCAACTTTGATAGTACAAAATTGTTCTTGTTCGGTGATTGCCTCGCACAGCAACTCTTTGCAGTTATAATGATCATGAGCAAGCCTCACATTTACGATCTTTGCAGGTCTGCAAAGCAAAAGAAAGCTGAAGTAAGTTTGTAAATAGAGGCACAGTTTAATTTAGTGACCATTTCCTTAATGACTGAATTGCTGATCCCAGTTGTGATTGCTAAATGAGACTACCTGTACTCTGTTTTGTGTCAGTGGTGTTGTAAACTAGTGTGGAGAGGGGTGGGATCTGACAATGTAGCCTGCTTTGATGAATTGTTAGGAGGTTTGACAGCTCTTGTCTCAAGACCTTTGCTAGTTTAGGCTAGAATTCCTACACTATTATATATTACCAAAATTTGGCCAAGACTCACAATCACAAAAGGCCTGGTGAAGGCAGGTCTCTGTATGTGTGTTTGTCAGGGGTGGGTTCTAATTTTTTTTACTACCGGTTCTGTGGGCGTGGCTTATTTTGTGGGCGTGGCTTGGAGGTCATGTGACTGGGTGGGCATGGCTATGTGTATAGGGACTACTCAGAGGGCTGAAAAAAGTCATTTCTGACAGGTCCTCGCACTTTTGACTGGTCCTCACACTTATGACCATCATATTTATGCCTGTGCAGCATTCTTAACAACCATGTCACTCATTTCACAACTGCTTCTCTTCACCATGGTGACAAGATAGGGCAAAAACGTAAAATGTGAGGACAGTCGTAAGTTTGAGGACTGGTCAAAAGTGCGAGGACCAGTCAAAAATAACTTTTTCAGCCCTCTGAATAGTCCATATACATAAAAGGATACAGCAATAGAGAGGGATGAAGGAAGGGAAGGGAAATTAGAGTAGGAGTGAGGGTAAGAGAGGGAGGAAGAGAGGAGGAGAAGGAGAAAGGAAGAGGAAGTAGGGAGGAGAAGAAAGGGGGGGAAGAGAAAGTAAGAAGGAAAGAAAAGAGAGAGGTGGTAGGTTTGAGGAGAAAGATTGCTGTACAATAAAAAAGATGAAAGGGAAGAAAGCCAACCCCAAACAAATATAAAGATATTAAGATAAAGAATGAATTGTTAAACTTTAAAGAATAAAAGAGAACAAATATGAATAAATAGCAATAATTAGAAACACACATACAAACATACAATGTATTTTCTTTGAACAGAGTATTTGGCCGGTTCACAAATTTAAACAGTGTTTAGTCATTTCAATTAAATTTACAATTTCTATATTTCCTTTTTGCCATATTTATTCCTCACCTATTTTTTTTAAAAAAACAATATTACCCTTCATCCTCATCTCTAATCTTAATCAAATTCAATTTTTCCCTTCTATTCTATATTATACCCCTTCCCATTGTCATCTATTTTTATATCCATTCTCACATTGGTTAATTATGTAATATTAGTTGTTTAATATAAATTCAACATTTTAATATAAATCAATTAGTTATATAACTATCTTTTTTGTATATTAATCAATATGAACATGAATATTCCAATTATTTCCATGCAATCCAATTTCTTACAAATCAATTAATTATACTTACCAATAATAATAAACCAAATAATTTTCCCCATATATTCCTCCAAACCACAACTTAACCATTTCTGCTTTCAACACAATATACAATTAATAGTATCTCAATTATTACAATTCCCTAGTTAAATAGAGCTTTTTTTTCTTTTGTGTTTTAAAATCTTGAACTCCCCTCTTTTGCCCTAAATTTCCCATTGTTTGCAGTTTAGCACCTACCTTTTTTGGTGAGGAAAAAGAAAAAGAAATCTCTCTCTGCCTTATTTTGTCACATTGCAGCAAAGACCCTGCTTTACTTTCAATTTTGTTTTTTCAGCATAGCTAGAGGGAAAAAAATCTGCTCCAGCACTTTTTGCAGCTAGCAACAGAACAGAGCCCTTCGCAAAACAGCTGAGAGCAAATCAGCTGAGAGTCGGGAGACCGATCTAATCAACTTGTGGTAATTAATCTATGCTGAAGCTGAAAGGGGCTGTTTTTTCTATTTTTGTAGGCACCGGTCTACTCATTTGTTTTCTTTTAACACTGATCAGCTGTAGGGCGGCCCTTTGAAGCCCCCCGGCAAGAGTTTAAACAGTTTTTTTTCCCTCTAGTCATCAGCTGGGACTCAGGAGGCAGCATAGATTGGGAATGGGCGGGGTAAGCGAACAGCGACCAGGCCGGGAACCGATTCAGGGGCATGGCCAGCCAATCTTATTACCGGTTCTCCGAACTATTAATTTTTTTTACTACCGGTTCTTGAGAACCGGTGCAAACCGGGTCAACCCACCACTGGTGTGTGTGTATGTGTGTGTTGTGAGATGGAGTTTTATATCACTAACCTGGAAGCTACTGCTTGATCATGCTGCTAATATAAGTTTGCGCCAGTATGTGATTTTCCAGGGTTTATTCGGTGTATTAAAGTTTAATCAGAGCTACAAATCTTAACTTTCAAGAGAAACCCTACAGTTGCTACAGTTACCTGACACCATATCTGAGACTCGCAAACTCATTTTAAATTAATTGGTTTGCCCTTGTGCATATCTGTATCGGATCTTATGCAGTCAAGCCTCCTTACGCACAAGTCCAATTTGCCAGAAGGGGAAAGGGAAAAAAAGCATATAAAGATCTAATTTGCATAAACATTCGATACAAATGGGATCAGCGTTCCTCCTACAAGTGATGCATTCAAAAACAGTCGTTTGTATTTTTGTGATTTTTAAAGATGTTGGCAAATCAGCAAATCATTTTCAAGACGCAGCTTCCTTTGGATCACTTTCAAGCATCTTTGTGCGAGGCAGGAAACTTTCTCCTCTGATTATTTTACATTCAGTTCACCTTTGATGTTCAAAAAAAACCTTCAGGAGCTGCAAGGTGTTCTCCATTCTCAAGAGGGAGACAATTCCTGTCTCTCTCTCGCCCTCCCTCCCTGCCTTACGCCAATATTTTTCTTAATTGCTTTTATGCAGGCCTGCATAATGACCGAAAATATAATGGATAAGAATTGCATGCTCATGTAATTTATAACGCCACTCCCTGTGTGATACTGGGTACATAACTTTAATTACAAAATTGTAATTCCCACAGAGTTCCTGTTAATCGTAGAATGGGTTGCTAAGCATTTTCTCCCATCAAAATGAAACACTGTAATTCTCTTATATTTTCACTTTCGGCATCAATAGGAATAGGCAGCTCTTTCAAATTTGGCTTCCCTTAATGTTTCAGTTTTGAAAATTAAAAAAATAAACCTGCAAGTACCGTATTTTTTGGTGTATAAGCACTTTCCCCCCCAAAAAACTGGGTGAATACATCTGTAAGTTTTGCAAAAATATTGCTAGGCTTTGAAGACAGGCTGTTGAAAACCACTTTGTTGGCTATTTCTTTTAGTAACCGTCTCTTTTTCTTCACAGTCACAGGAAGGAAGACTCCCTCCCCCTTCTCTTCCTCAGCCTGAAGACTGATGGGCAGAGAGGAGAAATTCAGCCACACGACCCTGCCAGCACCCGCTGATAATGTTTGCCATGAGGTTAATTATTGCTGATATCCGGAAGAATCACTGACACAACCCACTGCACTGCAGTATTGCAAATGAATTAAGCCATCAGTGATGCAAAGTGGAAAGTACAAAGCTCCTCTCAGCAGCCGTTAGAAGGAAAAAGCACATAATGAAACTTAACCAAGTATTCTCTGGCCTGCTTGGGTATGTGCAGTTTTGTCCCTTGTTTCTCACGTTACTATTCCAACTGGTTGACGTAGAATTCGGGGGGAAGTTGGACCTTTTGAATGCCTCCTTTGGAGTCTAAGCAACTGCTAAAATTGCATTTCCTATACTCCTTCCTTCTTATGAACCCCGCTTTCCAGGAATTTCCACTTGAATCATCACAACTAGTTGTACTGTTCTCAAAAAGCCCTACTTCCCAAGAGGGCCTTCCAGAATGCAAAAGCAGAACACTGAACATTATATGCACCCAGAGACAATAAATCTCAATTGCTTCAGACATTGGATGCTTTTGTTTGGAGGTGGTTTTCTAAAGTCTGCTTTTAATTTCTTTTAACCAGCTCAATCACTGTTTTGAAAAAAAGAAAGAAAGAAAGAAAGAAAGAGATAGAGAGAGGAAGGAAGGAAGGAAGGAAGGAAGGAAGGAAGGAAGGAAGGAAGGAAGGAAGAAAGAAAGAAAGAAAGAAAGAAAGAAAGAAAGAAAGAAAGAAAGAAAGAAAGAAAGAAAGAAAGAAAGAAAGAAAGCCATATGTCTATGGAGATTCTCAGTCATCCAGGCAGAGGTGGGATTCAGAAATTTTAGCAACCAGTTCTATGCCCAGTGGCTGGGTGGGTGTGGCCATGGTGGGTGTGGCTTACCCAGCCTCCTGCACTATGGCGGGGGGGGGGGCGTTTTCACCTTCCCCAAGCTCTGGAGGCTTTCCTTGAGCCTCTGGGAGGGCATAAACGGCTTCCTCCAAACTCCGGAGGTCCTCCAGAGGCTGGAAACGTGCCTGTTCTGGACTTCTGGGACTTCCAGGAGGCCCTTTTTTCACCTTTCCCAAGCTCTGGAGACTTTACTTGAGCCTCCAGGAGGGTGAAAACTGCCTGCCCCGGGTTCCAAAGGACCTCTGGAGGCCAGAAACGGGCCCATTCCCAGACTTCTGGAACTTCCGGGAGGCCCATTTTTCAACTTGTCAGAGACTCTGCACTGGCGCTGCACTTACCTGACATCCAATATGGGTCGCGTGGTGACTCCTGGGAGGGAAGGGGCAGGGTAGGCAGGGCCAGCCAGTCCTTGCAACTACCGGTTCGGTGAACCAGTTGTAAAATTAGCATCAGGTTCGCCCAAACCGGTCTGAACCGGCTGAATCCCACCCCTGCATCAAGGTCATGGTTGTCCTAAAGGTGCTTTTTCATGAGGCAACTGGAAGAAGAACCAATGAAAAACCAGAAAGTCCAGTTGCCTCTTGAAAAAGCACCTTTGGGACAAAGAGAGCCATGCAAAAGAGGCCATTTTATAGAAGGAACGTTAATGGCAAAACAAAATATGAACAGTAGTAATAAATGTTCTCAAACACCTTTAGTCCAGGCAGTTATAAGTTAATATTACAAACATACCATCTCTTTCTCTTTCCTTTTCTCTTTCATTTTTGCTTTCTCTCTTTTTCTGTCTCTCTCACCCCACCCAATCCCACACTTACAAAGAGACTGTTATGAGGGGGAAAAGCTCCCCAAAATTCATAAATCTACTCCTGCATGACTTTTGTTCTCTTTAAACCTTCATTTTGAAGGCAAGATTTTGATTGAAATATTTGAATGTGTAAATTTCCAAATGTAGCAAATTCCAACTTCATTTGGCAAAGGAAGCCTAGTGATAATTCCTTTCTTCCTCTTAACATGGATTTAAGCAGCTTCTGCTTGTCGAATGCATATGTTTGTACTGGTGGCCCATTCTTACAATTATTAAAGGGACTGTGAAGATGCAACAATTTCCCAATTTCACTTTAACGCTTTAGGACATAGAATGTAGGTATTGGGCATTTCTCCCTTTTGTAAACTGAAGAATTTTATCCAAATTCTTAAACATTCACAACAGAGCCACAAAATACATGCTGCAACAAATACTGCTTGAAATTGCTACAGAATCCATCCTCTAAACCAGCTGCCTCCAACCTTTTGGGCACCAGGGACTGGTTCCGTGGAGAAAGGTTTTTCTGCGGACTGGAGGGGTCTGTGGTTTTGTGTGCTGCCTGCATCCCACGGATGGGGCTTCGCTTGTTTGAGCAGCCCAGTTGCTGGCATGCTGTGGACCAGTGCCTGTCCACAGACCAGGGATTGGGGACCCCTGCTCTAAATAGAACACTTCTTGTCAATTCAAAAGAAACTGTTATCACCTCTGCATTGTTACTTATTCTAACCCATTGTTAGATTGCTCCAAATCCACTACAGTGTTTTGTGCAGTAAATCACTACCACAGTGAGTATCCTTCCCAAGCCAGATAATTCATCCTGGGACTCTGCTGAGCAGTCTAAGAAGAGCTTAGTATTCCTATTAAATCTTTCTTCAGCAGATTGGCCCTCCTGAATTTTTAAGCCCTGTTCCAACATTCATTCTTTGGGCTTCTTAGAATTGCTTCATTTGTTTGATTAGTGTGCCTTCTAGTGCTTGCTCTTCACCCTACTTTCTGGTTAACCTGATAGGTGAAAACTGCATTACTCTGGCCTCCAATTTCACTTTGTAACTCACCAAACAGCCCTCCAATCAAATCACCCTTCACTTTATGTCTTACATTTCCATGCAAAATGTCTGATATTGAATTACACCATCCCTATTTGACATTCTTGATGCAATACAAATTCTCTAACAGGGATGGCTGTGAGTGTGCTGGGCTTCCTATCTTGAAAGATCCCAGGGTAGTAATTTAGCCATTCCTGAACAGACCCCTTTGAGGTGACTACTGTAACTCTGTTCCTTCCTCTAAAAACAGAAGTTTTTAATATTAGTTCATCCCGTGTTGGATTCACTGCAATATCTGTCTTTGGAAAGTGGCAAACCTAATGCCCAGGGAGAAAATAGGAATTTAGTCCAGTGATATGTGGCACCCTAAATTTATATTATTTTTGATAGAAAGAACAAGTCTGTTTTAATTCCAATAAGGAAACAGGCAGCTTCAATATTTTGAATATGAAAGCCCCTTGTACTTTTAAAAAGGCCTCTACACTCAGCAATTAAAACGATGAAGTTGTCATTCCTTCAGCACTTTTTCCAGCTTCCATGGCCTTGAGATACCACATCTGCAGTGACTTTGCTGCCTAATATCTCATCAGTGGCATCATGCCTCTTAACAAAGCATGTTGCCAATTTTCTGGGACACAGCTGTCTCTCAAAGAAGGGATAAGGTGATGAAGCACAGCCAACGATATCCCTTCTATGGGAAGGCTGCTGTTTATGTGCACAATGACACATTAATGTCAAACAACTGATATGCCAACATGTAATATGTAAACAATAGGGAAAACGCTGGCAGAGCGCTTCCAAGTGCATCTTGCCAAAGACAAATGGATTTGCCAGAGGTTCCTGCAAAACCTATTAAGAGCACAGGTGTCCAGGCATACAAAATCAAAAATGCAATTCTCAGGTGCAAGTGTGTAAATTATAAAAATCCAATACAGTAGGAAACCAGAAAACAAGCTAAACCCCACATATGACTCTCCTGACAACAGCCAGTACAAAATTACTTTTTTGGCATGATGAATTTTTTTCACCAAGTTGAAAAGTTGTTGCATGGGTAGTTTTGGGGAGCCAAGCATCATTGCACTATACACTTTAGTTCTGTTAAATTTGGAAAACGTATACCAATTAAATCAGCAGAAGATCACTGCTTTAGTGCCACAGAGAAGTTGGCAATCTTGTTCAGTTGCTTTGAGAAAGACTGAAACTCACCAAGACGTCTATACTTTCAGCAGCCTGTTCTGCACAGAGGCTTTTTACCTGAAGAACTGTATGTCAACTGTCTGATTAGTGAATCCAAAATAAGTAAACACTCTCAGGAGATTTGAATTTCCAAAAGTAAACTTTATTGGATACACCATTTTGGTACTGAAGTATCAAAACCAGCTCTGGTTTTCCCACACAAATGCTTACCTAGTTAAACAATAGCTTCCCTTTCTCCCCATCCCTGGGTGATTATGAGATGTCCTTTTGTTATGCCAACATTTCACCTCCTTCTCAAGCACCTGCAGTGGTGACCTTGATGGTTTCCAGGCTCTCATGATCCATGTACAAAAACTCAGCAGTCCATTCCACCTTTCCCGCCCCCCAGTTCATTGGCAAGTTGAATAGCGATTAAGATTTGAAAGAAGCAAAACAGTTCAGTCTCGACACTGTACATACAATGGTGTCAGTGCAGCTCAGGCCTATGGCTACAGAGTTTGGGTGGAACCATTTGCATGGAGAACTGAACACAAATTCTTTATCACTGCCAATGCCACAGTTAGAAGTGGAGGCCTTGGAAGGTGAGATATTACAGTATCACTCTGGAAGAGCGGGACTCTTTTTTAACCCTATGTGTTGAGCTTTTACTCCTTTTGCAAATAAGATACTGAAGAAGCATTACATCCTTTTAAATATAAATATGTATAAGTGTGTTAAGTCCTCGCAGTTACGACTTCCCTAAACCCTGCCCTGTTGCTGCCCTGCTCTGATTGGCTAAGACGCGGGCAGCTATATAGCGGGAAAACACAGCTATTGGTTTTCTCCGTCTGACAGCTCCCTATTTAAGCAGCTATCAGGCGGCTACAAGTTGTCAATGTTACACAAGCGCGGTTGCCTTGTTCAGTGTGTTAGCGTTCTGTTAGAAATAAAGCGTTGTTATTTCACAAGTCTCGCCTCCGTGTAACTGCCTTGTTCTCCAAATAGAACAATGTGTATAGGAAAAAAACCCCAATAAGTATAATGGAGTCTAAAGCAGTTACTAAAAAATCCAAATAAAATACTATTTTAAGAAATTCCAATCCTAAATAACGGTGCAGCATATTGTACAAATGGTAGCACAGAACTGGGTCACTTGAGAGGTTATTTTTGGGTCCTTGTTGAGAGCAATTAGCATTAAACATAAACTGCACTTCCCATCTGGAAATATCTTCAAAATAGAATATATAAGGGTCTGTCTAGACTCTAGAGTCCCTATAAAAGGTAAAGGTAAAGGTTCCCCTCGCACATATGTGCTAGTCGTTCCCGACTCTAGGGGGAAGTGCTCATTTCCATTTCAAAGCCAAAGAGCTAACGCTGTCTGAAGATGTCTCCATGGTCATGTGGCTGGCATGACTAAACGCCAAAGGCGCACGGAACGCTGTTACCTTCCCACCAAAGGTGATCCCTATTTTTCTACTTGCATTTTTTATGTGCTTTCGAACTGCTAGGTTGGCAGAAGCTGGGACAGGTAACGGGAGCTCACCCCATTACAAGGCACTAGAGATTCGAACTGCTGAACTGAGTTCCTATATAGGGAACATATAATAGCA